ACCCCTATAGGATCCCCACAGGATCCTCACAGGACCCCTACAGGTCCCCCAGGGGACCCACACAGGTCCCCCACAGGACCCCTACAGGTCCCCCAGAGGACCCACACAGGACCCCCACAGGACCCCTATAGGATCCCCACAGGATCCTCACAGGAACCCTACAGGTCTCCCACAGGACCCACATAGGACCCCTACAGGTCCCACACAGGACCCAAACAGGACTCACACAGGTCCCCCACAGGACCCCTATAGGATCCCCACAGGATCCTCACAGGACCCCTACAGGTCCCCCAGAGGACCCACACAGGACCCCCACAGGACCCCTATAGGATCCCCACAGGATCCTCACAGGACCCCTACAGGACCCCCACAGGATCCCCACAGGATCCCTACAGGATCCCCACAGGATCCTCACAGGACCCCTACAGGTCCCCCAGAGGACCCACACAGGACCCCCACAGGACCCCTATAGGATCCCCACAGGATCCTCACAGGAACCCTACAGGTCTCCCACAGGACCCACATAGGACCCCTACAGGTCCCACACAGGACCCAAACAGGACTCACACAGGTCCCCCACAGGACCCCTATAGGATCCCCACAGGATCCTCACAGGAACCCTACAGGTCTCCCACAGGACCCACATAGGATCCCTACAGGATCCCCACAGGATCCTCACAGGACCCCTACAGGTCCCACACAGGACCCAAACAGGACTCACACAGGTCCCCCACAGGACCCCTATAGGATCCCCACAGGATCCTCACAGGAACCCTACAGGTCTCCCACAGGACCCACATAGGATCCCTACAGGATCCCCACAGGATCCTCACAGGACCCCTACAGGTCCCCCAGAGGACCCACACAGGACCCCCACAGGACCCCTATAGGATCCCCACAGGATCCTCACAGGACCCCTACAGGTCCCCCAGGGGACCCACACAGGTCCCCCACAGGACCCCTACAGGTCCCCCAGAGGACCCACACAGGACCCCCACAGGTCCCCTACAGGATCCCCACAGGTCCTCTACAGGACCCCTACAGGACCCATACTGGACCCCTACAGGATCCCCACAGGATCCCTACAGGACCCCCACAGGATCCTCACAGGACCCCTACAGGACCCCCACAGGATCCCCACAGGATCCCTACAGGATCCCCACAGGATCCTCACAGGACCCCTACAGGTCCCCCAGAGGACCCACACAGGACCCCCACAGGACCCCTATAGGATCCCCACAGGATCCTCACAGGAACCCTACAGGTCTCCCACAGGACCCACATAGGACCCCTACAGGTCCCACACAGGACCCAAACAGGACTCACACAGGTCCCCCACAGGACCCCTATAGGATCCCCACAGGATCCTCACAGGAACCCTACAGGTCTCCCACATGACCCACATAGGATCCCTACAGGATCCCCACAGGATCCTCACAGGACCCCCAGAGGACCCACACAGGACCCCCACAGGACCCCTATAGGATCCCCACAGGATCCTCACAGGACCCCTACAGGTCCCACACAGGACCCAAACAGGACTCACACAGGTCCCCCACAGGACCCCTATAGGATCCCCACAGGATCCTCACAGGAACCCTACAGGTCTCCCACAGGACCCACATAGGATCCCTACAGGATCCCCACAGGATCCTCACAGGACCCCTACAGGTCCCCCAGAGGACCCACACAGGACCCCCACAGGACCCCTATAGGATCCCCACAGGATCCTCACAGGACCCCTACAGGTCCCCCAGGGGACCCACACAGGTCCCCCACAGGACCCCTACAGGTCCCCCAGAGGACCCACACAGGACCCCCACAGGACCCCTATAGGATCCCCACAGGATCCTCACAGGAACCCTACAGGTCTCCCACAGGACCCACATAGGATCCCTACAGGATCCCCACAGGATCCTCACAGGACCCCTACAGGTCCCCCAGAGGACCCACACAGGACCCCCACAGGACCCCTATAGGATCCCCACAGGATCCTCACAGGACCCCTACAGGTCCCCCAGGGGACCCACACAGGTCCCCCACAGGACCCCTACAGGTCCCCCAGAGGACCCACACAGGACCCCCACAGGACCCCTATAGGATCCCCACAGGATCCTCACAGGAACCCTACAGGTCTCCCACAGGACCCACATAGGACCCCTACAGGTCCCACACAGGACCCAAACAGGACTCACACAGGTCCCCCACAGGACCCCTATAGGATCCCCACAGGATCCTCACAGGAACCCTACAGGTCTCCCACATGACCCACATAGGATCCCTACAGGATCCCCACAGGATCCTCACAGGACCCCCAGAGGACCCACACAGGACCCCCACAGGACCCCTATAGGATCCCCACAGGATCCTCACAGGACCCCTACAGGTCCCACACAGGACCCAAACAGGACTCACACAGGTCCCCCACAGGACCCCTATAGGATCCCCACAGGATCCTCACAGGAACCCTACAGGTCTCCCACAGGACCCACATAGGATCCCTACAGGATCCCCACAGGATCCTCACAGGACCCCTACAGGTCCCCCAGAGGACCCACACAGGACCCCCACAGGACCCCTATAGGATCCCCACAGGATCCTCACAGGACCCCTACAGGTCCCCCAGGGGACCCACACAGGTCCCCCACAGGACCCCTACAGGTCCCCCAGAGGACCCACACAGGACCCCCACAGGTCCCCTACAGGATCCCCACAGGTCCTCTACAGGACCACACAGGACCCCTAAAGGTCCCCCACAGGTCCCCCTACAGAACCCCCACAGGACCCCTACAGGTCAGCGCTGAGTTTCCATAAACCAGGAAGTGTCACGTTCATCTGTTGCCAGCTCTTTTCCTGCATTTAGCAAAGAAATAATTTCATCTGAAGTGTCCTGAGACAGAGAAGAACTGAGCAGCATAAAAGAGGAAAAAGGCGGCTTGGTTTGACATCAGACAGAAAACAAAAGGCTGAGTTTTTATTTATGTTGGTTTTAAGGCAAAATTCTGAGCTAATTATTTCCTCCCACCATCAGTAGAAATTCTGACCAGCAAACCTAAAATCACACTGACTTTTTAAAATGTTTTTATTTTCTGGTTTTCTTCAGACATTCATTAGTTCAAATGAAACTCTCTGGTCGCCTCATCAATCAGCCTCCAGGCTGTTTTTAACCAAAACCTTCTGCTTGTTTCCATTCATTTCAGAGAGTCAGTTAACTTACCTTAAACACGTCCTTCATGCATGTGTGCACTTTAAAGATGAAAGAATCCCACGGCGACACTCAACTGGTCAGCCTCCCCCAGACTTATAATGAGTGCAGACTTTCTCCATGCTTTTCTACAGCGGATGGTATCTGTTTGACATCTTTGCTTGAGGGACCAGAGTGTTTCTGGCTCCTCGTTAAGCCAATCAGTAACCGACTGAAAAAAAAAAGCAGTGAGAAACAAAGTTTATTCTTTAAAGTTGTGTAGCTCGGCTCAGAGGTCTGTCTGTGTAACAAATATACAGTTTATGTTGCCATTATATGGCAATATGGATGGATCTACAGTTATAAGTTTAAACTGATCAAGCAGATGCTGTTTGTTTTTGTAACCATTAGGGGGCGCCATTGAGCCTTACCGTGACCTTCCTAAAAGTGGAAATTGTGATTATGGAAGATCTTTTAGAGCTAGAAGCTTTACATCAGCTTCTACAGAATCTCAGACTAACTGAATGATTGTAAAGATAAATCTCTACATTTTGATACAGATTTTTTTTCTTGGATTCATATTCTGACGTTAATTGTTTTAGACTTTAAGACTTTAGACAGATTTTATTTGTCATTTTGTTTACATAAGTGTAAAACAAAAAAAAATTTTGTTTGGAAAAAGCTCACTGGACAATTTAATCTTTTAAAAGTGTAGCCTTGAAAAATAGTAAAAATTACTGTAAATTTACAGTTCTAACAATTATATATATATATATATATATATATATATATATATATATATATATATGACTATATATATAGTCATTTACCACATTAGCAATGTATAGAGTGTATTTCTTTAAAGTTAAGACTAGTTTAAAGTTATCTTCATTGAAAAGTACAGAGCTTTTCCTTCATTTCAATGTGACCCCAAACTTTTGAACGGTAGTACATATATATATGTATATATATATATATATATGTGTACTTTTCAAAAATACACTCTATACATTGCTAATGTGGTAAATGACTATTCTAGCTGCAAATGTCTGGTTTCTGGTGCAATATCTACATAGGTGTATAGAGGCCCATTTCCAGCAACTATCACTCCAGTGTTCTAATGGTACAATGTGTTTGCTCATTGGCTCAGAGGCTAATTGATGATTAGAAAACCCTTGTGCAATCATGTTCACACATCTGAAAACAGTTTAGCTCGTTACAGAAGCTACAAAACTGACCTTCCTTTGAGCAGATTGAGTTTCTGGAGCATCACATTTGTGGGGTCAATTAAACGCTCAAAATGGCCAGAAAAAGAGAACTTTCATCTGAAACTCGACAGTCTGTTCTTGTTCTTAGAAATTAAGGCTATTCCACGCAAGAAATTGAAGAAATTGAAGATTATACATTAAAAGCCTCTCGGTATAAAATAAATATTTTTAGGAGATGAAAAATCTGCCTCCTGGTCTGTTAAGGAATCAATAGTTTTCATCCAATCATTTAATTAATTGCTCTTAGTTTTTGGGAATATATAAGAATTTTGCTCCAATTCGTATTTACTGATCTGTTGTTACTATATTTTAATTTGACAAACCGGATCTTCTTAATGTTCTTTTTCCTGTTTGGTGCGATTGCAATAGCGGATCTTGACCTGGCCGGACCGGAGCAAAAAAAATAGCTCAGTTCCGTATTTTGACGGTGAAGGACAGAGAAGACGTACGTGGACGGAGACGTGCGGAGGAGTAGCTGTGGATGTGGAACAGCTCTCATTGATTTACATGAAAGACAAGTACTTCGCAGGACATATGTCAGCGGGGCGGAGCGGAGCGCTGACGGAGTATGTGGAATCTGGGGTCACAGTGTTGCGCCGCATATCGGTAGGTCTAAGATAATATCCCGTTAGATATTTAGGTGTATCAGGCTGTATGTGTCATGATCATGGCTCTGGGGGCTGGACTGATTGCTCAGTTCACTCACCTGTCTTACTCTGCCTGGTTTCCACTTATAACTCATCTTATCCACCTGCTCCTGCTGCTTTAAATACGGCTCAGCCCCAGCTTTCGGGGTCAGATCATTGAGGTTTAGATCATTGCAGATACCATAGTTGATGTTATTGAAAGGTGAGAGGTTTGGAGTGCTTGGCAGTGTTCCTGTTTTCCTGATCATGTTCTGTCTCTTATCCACTGATCGGTTCATGTTCCTGTCTTGGCTCAGTGGAGGGAGCGAGTTTCAGCGTACCGTAGTGTTCCTGATATCCTGCCTTGTTCTGCCTCTCAACTACTGAGCTTGCCTGTTCCCATCTGAACATTCTGCCTGAACTCTCTGTGGATTCCTGGAACCCTGAACCAGCCTGTTCCTGTTCTGATTTGAACCCCTGAATGGGCTCCGGACTCCTGGATCTCTGAACTGTCCTCTTCTGATGCGTTTCCCTGACCGGCCTTCAGACTCCTGCATGTTTTCTAGGGGTTCCAGCATCTGGTTCACTCTGGGAGGCACCCACACATCTTGTTGGCAGCCCACCGACTGGATCCTACTTCGTTCTAAGGAGATGAACTAAACTGTTGAACCAGGTTAGTGACTCGCATGGATAATCATCCTCTGTCAGATTATCATGGTCACTTATCTGTGTTTTTCTGTGTTTTTCTCATAAACCAGAGTTTCCGGTGATGGGTGGAGCTCTGTCACAATCGCATCCACTGCAGATCCTCTTTACTTTTAATAAACTCTTTGAATAAATCTTCTGTCTGTCTCGCCATGAATTCTGGGTCCAACCCTTTGAGTCTAGAGTATGGGACTTAATAAACATGCATGATCAACGTTAAGAACTTTATCAGCAAAAAATGTTTTAAAATGAGGTTTGTGAATATTATTTTATCAATGGCACCTTTTTTTTTACTATTCAGGGGTTTAATGGCATCACCTGTTCATCACAGTGATGGATCAGCTGATTGCTGGTGAGTCAGCCATTAAAGGAGCCCCTCCCTGCTGTGTGCTTCTCTCTCTATGCATGTGACTCTGATGACATCACATGGGAACCATGATCATGTCCTGTGATCTCACATTTTCAGGTGAGGCACATCTCCCAATGTCATGTGTCTCAAATGGAATGGAAACCAAACAAGATTTATTTTCTTAATCCAAGCTTTTAAACCCAGTTGAACGGGATAACCTGGAAGTGGAACCCTGCCTGGGGGGCCTGGATCTCCAGCTACCTCACAGACAGGCCACAGCATGTCCGGCTGAAAGACACCTTCTCTGAAACTGTAGGTGGCAGCAGTGGAGCCCCCCCAGGGCCCAGCGATGGCCCCTGTCCTCTTCACCTTGAACACCTGTGTCACATCTAGAAGGACGCAGATGACACAGCCATGGGGGGCTGTATCAGGGACAACAGAGGGGAGGAGGACAGGAGTCTGCTGGGGGACTAGGGGCCACCTGGTGCCGCTCCAACCACCTGGAGCTCAGGTGGTTGGAGTTTGTAAAGATTATATTTCTATATATATTTCTATATTTCATCATCTTTTAAAAATGAACATTCCTATCTCTGATGGATGCCACAGGGGGGCTCTCCATCGTACCGCAGGGCCATGGAGCCAGTGGGAATTACAGCATTGGTTACTATGGCTTCTAATTCCAACCCTGAAACTATACAGATGATTCCGTCTGCATGATTTCAGTGTCAGCCTCACATATTATCTGGAAAAAATAACAGGAAGAGAATCATTTATGGTTCCTTGAATTATTTCAAGATGATTAAAAGCAGCAAAAGGTCTAAGCATCAAACCACCATTTCAGTTTCAGTTCATTTTATTGGACAGTTCTTAGTTTTACACCAAAGATAACGCCATAAAAAAACTTCCAAAAAGTTAGACTTTGGTCTTATCAGCCCATCAAATGTTTTACCAAAAGCCTTGAGAATCATGAAGTTTGTCTTCCTGTTGATCTTTTTTTTTTCAGGCTCTCATGTGTTCTTACAGAGTCTGTTATTTATATATTTTTTAATTGAATATAATAGAATAAGAAATCCTTTTATTTCCCCACAATGGGGACATTGTGAGACAATAAAGGGACAGCAGCAGTACAGCAAAGGTAGTCACACAAATGTGGAATTTAAAAGTGTATAAAAATAACAAAATTAGAGTTAAGAAAAATAAATAAAATACTGTGCTGAAAGCGTTTTAACAATATAAAACTGCACCTGGAGAATAAATAATACAGCTATGGACATTTTTACAGTAATGGATGTTTGAAAAATAGCAGAAAATTGACAGCAGCAGGTTATTTAACTGACTGAGGTAGAAACTGCTGAATCAGCATGAATGGGAGAACTGGTTGAGGTTGTTGGGAACAGTGGTGGTTCTAGAGTCTTCCAGCTGCTGGGAGGAAGGATCTGTGATAACGCTCCCTGGTGGATTTAAAGTGCAGCAGTCTGTCACTGAAGGAGCTGTCCAGTTCAGCACCAGCTTCATGCATGGGGGGGGGGGGGGGGGGTATTATCCAACAGAGATGTTCATTTAGTTAGGATCCGTCTGTTTCCCACCTCCTGCACGGAGTCCAGATAGATAGATAGATAGATAGATAGATAGATAGATAGATAGATAGATAGATAGATAGATAGATAGATAGATAGATAGATAGATAGAAACCAATCAGAATCTTGCTGCGGTCATATCTGCAGTATCGGTTTCTAACCACTAAGCGGCGCTGTGCTCCCATCATTCCCTGCTAAGGCGTCGGCTGGTTGACCATCAGATCAGACTCAGCTTCTAGTTATCTAGATATTGCTGAGAAAAATACACCAGGACGTATCCCCTCATATAGACAACAGTAATGTAGATCAACAACATCTAGATGGACACCTGTGCTGCTTTGGATCATATTCAGGCCAATGACCAGCTGGAGAGTTTGGTGACCGGAGGAACATCTGAAAATGACCAAAGGTTTCTTTAGAAAACATCTGGACTTGATGAAAGAAATGAGGAATAAAGTTGTGAAGATCTGCGGGCGCAGCTCCATCTCCATCCATCAGTATCTAACAGCACGCAGGTAGCAGGGATCATCACGCAGCGCTGCGCAGCGCAGCAGAGGGATGAGGGGGGGGGACGTTTGACTTGAGGAGGTTGAACTTCTCAACAGCCAATCAGGAGCTGCCCTCCGACACGTTGGGAGGTTATAAATAGTGAGCGGTTCTGCGGTGAAGTACATTTAAACCGGTCTGTGAGGAGCAGGGGCGCGCGCTTCACGGTGCTACACAACCACAACAATAACACAACACCTGGAGGCCCGTTACCAAGCAACAAGCCTCCCTTTGGACATGTCGCACGTCCAGTTATCGAGCAGCGCGCTGGAGCGGCTGGCGGCCCGCAGGACCTTCCCTCTCCAGAGGCGCACCGCCGTCTGCCGCAGCCTGTTCGGCCCGGTGGATCACGACGAGCTGAGCCGGGACGTTAAAGCCAAGCTGCGGGAGATTTCCGAGCGGGACACGCAGAGGTGGAACTTTAATTTCGAGGATGACTCCCCGCTGGAAGGAAACTACGAGTGGGAGGAGATGCCCGCGGAGAGGACGGCGGCGTTTTACCGTGAGTCGGTGCAGAGCGGCAGGACGCGCGTCCCGGCGACGCCCGTTAAGCAGACGCCCTCCTCGGACTCGGAGAGCCCCGCTGTCATGGAGCGCTTAGCGGTTCCGGAGAGAAGCAGCGGGGACAGCGGCTCCGGCAGCCCGCAGGAGGTGAACCAGGAGAACCGGCCGGTGACGGTGACCCCGGGGCCCCGCAGACCGGCTCCATGCCTGAGGCGCAAGAGGACGACGGCTGCTGATCACAGCAATGCGCTCATCACAGGTAGTTACGGTTCCTGGAAAATACTTCATCTTTTTAATTTAACATTTATTGATTGTTTTTCTTTTTTTTTAAAGACTTCTTCGTGAAACGGAGGAAATCTGCAGACCGACTTTCCAAGACTTCCATCCAAATGGAACAAACTCCGCAGAGGAGAATCCGCTGAAGGTAAAAAACCTCATGGAACACATCTATGTTAGAATTTCTATTGAGCCCTTATATTGTTTTTATGGTTGCATGATCCACGCAGCGTGATCTGAGTGGGTGGGGGATGGGAGGGAGTGGGCTGGGGGGGAAATCACAGGAGCAGTTGGGGGGGTGAATGTATGATGGCGGGAAAAGGAAGGGTGACGCATTGCGCGGCTTTGCGTCACTCCTCTTTCCGTGGAAGCCGCAGCTTTTCTCCGCAGAATCTGCGCCTTTCTTTCTGCGGAAAAATCAACTCTGCTTTTCTTTCCTCCTCAGGTGCTGACTGCTCCTCCTCTACTTTTTGTTGCACTACTTCCACGCGTGTTTTTTTTTTTTTTTTTTTTTTTTTTTTGAGGACTGAGAGACTTTTTTTGTTTGAAATCACGCTGGAGGATGGAGGGATGCGCGGCGCATCGGCTGCAGCTTTGCGCCTGAGCGGAGCGGCGCATCGGCTGCAGCTCCTCCCGGGATGGAGGCTTTGGGATCGGATAGAAAGAGAGAAAGAGGCCGAGTGGATGGAAGAAGAAAAAGGAAATAAAGGGATTCAGTTTTTCAGTACAAATGTAGCATCTATTGATTTTGCATCCAGCCACTCGACAGTGTTAAATGTTTTAACATCTGTGCAATCTAGAGATAATTTCTACACTGGCTAAAGTGTACAGCTTTATAGAAGCGGTAGCATTTGTTTATTTCTGCTCTGTTTGATTTTCTGTGAAACTATATATTTTAAGTTTATTCTAACTTATAAGTTATTTATGTTTCTCTTGCCGATTTTTAAAATTATTTTATTTCTTTTTTTATTGTGGTGTTTTGCAATCCTGTAGCCTCCCGATAGTCTTTGTTTCTGAGCCTTTATGGAGTTTTATTGTTTTAGTGACCTTTTTCTTTGTTTAATGATGGAAATAAAACATTTTCAAATGTAATGTTTGACAGTTTCCTTCTTTTATTTTCTTAAAATGTTTGGATCTATGTCTGTAGGTCTATAGAACCATATTCAGCTCATTTTCTTTGCATTAATGTTTTTTTTGTCATAAAGCTGCATTCTAATCAAAATGATTATCTATAATAATTTATGACCGTTTTTAATTTGCGGACAATTATTTTCTTAGATAAAATATTCCCTAGAAATACTGCAAACAGAGTGTTTAATCATTTTCTGTAAGCATTGCCGTTAGCCACAGACAAACTGTACTTTAATACCTACTTTATTTTATTTAAATGAAATATAAAGATAGATTCTGATTAGTTTAAAACTCATTAAAACAGGGAAATTCTGCCTTTTTTTAAATCATAATTTGGATATTTTAACTGATCATTAATATTTGCTGTAAACAGATTCTAAATGCTAACATCCTGTTTATATTAAACCATTTTTTTAAAGTCTTGTATTAAACTCTACCTTCATTTTTAATTCTTATTCCCAGTGACGCAGTAACTGATCAATTCAATTCAATTCAGTTTATTTATATAGCGCCAAATTCACAACACATGTCATCTCAAGGCACTTTACAGTTCAACCAGATCAAATTGATACAAAGTTTTCTATCTAAGGAAAACCAGTTGATTGCATTGACTCATTGACTCAAATACAATCCCCCACACTAAGCATGCTTGTAGCGACAGTGGAGAGGAAAAACTCCCTTTTAACAGGAAGAAACCTCCAGCAGAACCAGGCTCAGTGTGAGCGGCCATCTGCCGAGGCCGACTGGGGTTCAAGGAGACAGAAGCAGAGATACAAAAAGCAGCTGTAAAAGGCGGCCCCGTCCAGGAAACACACAGCCAGGCAGACGAGCTCCAAGGCAGCTCCCATGCCAGAGGACGAAGAAAGCACATCCACTCAGTCACGGTCAGAGAAACAGGACCACACTGGAAAACAGGCCGATCTCCAACATCTATAAACAAGGGTGTTGATAGAAGCAGCACAGCTGATGTTTCTTTCCAGGATGACGTCACAGCCAAATCAAATACTGTGTGATAGATACTAATCAGCCATATTTTCTGTGTAGGAAAAAAAGCTTATAATCAATAAAGAATCAGAGATAATAATCAAATGATCACCTTCATTTGTCTTTGCAATTAAATATTGTAGCTAAAATCACATTAAATGTAACCCTTAATGAGGTTTTACTGAACTAAAGATCTTTAGAGGCTGAATTTGTCAGCATAGATCTTGAAACATCACCTACATGATGCTGCTGTTCTATTTGCATAGATCTACTTCACACGAACCCAAAGACCCTTGCGGGGGAAACCCGCATTCAGACGCAGCTACCTCTAATGGCAGCTGCGGGATATAGGCTCAGATTTAAAGGCCTTTCGCTCCTTGTAAAGAAGCAGCAGCTGCCTTTGGATCCCCGCTTTGTCCGCCCCAAAGACCCCCCCCCCCCCAATACACACGTAACCCGCACTCGACAAGGCCCTCCAGAGGACCCACTCTCACACACGCACTGTGTTTACGCCGCCGTGGATCCACCGGGCGTGGAGGCCACCTGCCAGAAAGTGCAAAAAGAAAAGTACTAGTCTTTGTGACGCTGCTGCTCCATTGAAACAAACCATTCAACAGGTCAGACTTGCAAGTTTACCCTTAATTGAAAGAAGCCAAACGTGGGGCCTTGTGTTCATGCCACCCCCACAACAGCATCCTGGGCTATATTTCATCATTTTCCAGAAGTGGTGGAGGCCTTTGAATCCTCCTGGGGAGGAAGAGGAATCTGTGGATGGAAACAGAGACTTTTTGATGCTGACTTTGTCAGCTATAAGCTGTGATGGGAGCTTGTTCTGGTTTCCAACACAAAGCCTCTCTGGCTCCATTCTTTCCTTTTTGTTGCCATATGGCAAATCCATGTAGACATAGCCAAGACCTATTCAGTCCAACCGCAGAATGTCCTGCGTCACAGAACAAAGGACACTTTGTCTGGCTCCTCCATTGATACCAATAGGCAAAGAAAAAAAATATTAGAATGAATCTATGGCTATATCCAGCTAATTAACGCCCGTGTGCCTGCGGGGGGGGCAGAGAGCGCATTCAGCAGCGTTTTAGATGCTCAATAGTTTACATGTTAAAGACAACAGCTGTTTATGTGTTACTTTAATGAAGTCTGCGCTGTCTTACAGACTGGACACATTCAGCCCCCCCCCACCCCACTCCTAGCCTCTAAAGGTGCTAAACAGGTCATCTTCCCCTCTTTGTCCTGCAGCTGTGTAACTATATAAAATTTGTCCCAGTAAACAGAAGCTTTAAGTCGTTTGTTGAGAAGGTTTTGAATTTGAGTCGTTCTGGGAAGGTTCACAGGTTAAACAACCAGCTAAGCTCTTCTTTAAGCTGGACCCACCTGCATTTTAGGCCCATTCCTGCTTTTTAGATAAACTTAGAGCTCAGTGGGAAGATCAGTTTTTAAAATGTTGAAACTTGGTTGTAAATGAGCCTGATAATGGCCCATCGGAGCATTATAACTTCATTCATCCATTGCATGATGGGAGTTTGATGGATGTAAAGAGAAGAGTTGACAGCGAACATTCAGACCTCATTAAACAACAGATCATTACTTTACATGCAGCTGCTGATGGGGAGTATCCTGGGCCCCGCAGGCCCCGCAGGCCCCTAGCTAACCTTTAACTAAGCATCAACAAAATGAACATCTTTTTCCACACTTATTTAAATTATTTTTCTTATGTTAGTTAACATTTTTTCAGCAGATTATAAACATCTTTATGAAAAGAGGCAATGCACTGACACGGTTATATGTTTGTAATTATAAGTGGTGAATGAATCAATCTCCCTTCAAACTGTAAAAATAAAACCGAATGGCTGAAAGTTTGGAACGTTGGAAACAAATTCTAGTGAAAAACTTATTTGGCAAATATAAGAAAAAAAGTACAAACTTTACTCATTTTTTCTGCTTCTAAAAGCAGAGAAAAATAATTAGTTTTTATATGAAAACAGGGGAAAGTTTTGATCAGTTTGAACTGACTGATAGCTTCAGATATTAAAGTTAAAGCACGTCTGGGGTTTCCTGCAAATGTAGCGACTGAAAATATAATTTCAGGGACACATTTCCCACTTGAAACATGTAATTATCAGGACGGTCTGCAGAAGACCGCAATTAAATGTAGAGAGGAGAAAAATCCGTCAGGGAAGGGGTGTGTGTGTGTGTGTGGGGGGGGGGGGTAATTAGCATTTTCCATGACCATCTGGCATCGGCGCAGGCGACTGGGAACAAAGGCGAGCTGGATGGAGAGGAGAGGCGAGTGTGCCATCGCATTGACCTGCAAATGAGGCTTTGTCACAGAGTTAAAGCTCCCTGACCCCCCCTTTCTTACCCCTCCCAGCTCATCTAAAAACGAAATGACAATAAAAAAAGAACTACATCAGATTTTATTTTTTTGAGTAACGCAGAAGGAAGTTGAATCCAGGTCTGACTGAGCTTTGGAGCTGCAGGAGATCAAGCAATGTGCTGCAGATTATTTAGATGTAGAACCAGGAGTCTGCTTAGTTTTATATATGTTTACACATTTTAATTGGCCATTCTGACATTTATCAGTTTGACTGAAAATGTATTTATAATATCTGAAAAACACAAGTACATAAATATACGGTAACAATCTGGAGATCTGAAATTAATTTCTAGACATCCAGGATGTTTATTCTAGATGTGAAGAACGGTTAAATGGTCATTTTGACAAGGAAAAAAAGTTTTTTCTTTTTTAGATATCAGGAATAGATATTCAGTCAAACTAATACATATCGAAACAGCTTGCCATAGGCTGTTGTTACTGTGAAAATATTACAGGATTATTTCCTGTATGGTAATAAATCACTGTATCTATTTAGGTGAAATCATCAGCAGGTGAAAATGAAGAATAAAAAGTATTTCTAATAAATAGAACCTGTTCATCATCTCATGGGTTCCTCCTCATGTTGATTCTTTTACGCAGTAAATCAGTGGCTGTTTGCAGCCGCGCTTCAGATGTTATCGTCCCAATAAATGGTGATTATAAGCAGCTATCAGTCCCATAGAATGGCTTCAGATTGGGCCAGTAGGTTGTTTCATCATCGCCATATTAAACAAACCGAAAACCAATAAATCTCATTTCCTGTCACTGAGTTGTAGAATCCTCTCCCTATAAATATTTTATTTTATTATATTATTTGTTTTCAACCTTAATGTTTGTAACTGACCCAGTAAATTATGTTATTTTTATGTACAAAACTACAACATAAATCTGACTAAATTAGGAAATCAATCAGTGTGATTGGATGTAAGGAGAGCGGAGACAGATGACACTCTACTGAACAAAACCTGCTGCTGACCAGCTTAGCTCTGGGAGGATGTTACCATGGCAACAGAAACAGGTTGAATAAACTCTTTGAGAAATGAAAAAGTCAGTTTCCCTGATTTCAGGATTAGAAAACTTTTCAGTAAACCTGCTCCATCAAACAGAAACCAGGTGTAAAAACCAAACAAACAAAAACCAGAAATGAGTGAATGAACTGACCTTCTGTGTTTTATAGCGTCCTGCAAGCAGGGAGCCGATAACCAGTAAAACCTTCCTAAGGCTTAATGGTTATTCAAGCACTAATTATTCTGCTAAAGCTTTAAGTATAGAAAAAACAGTAAATTAATTTAGAAAGCGAAGTAAAGTGTAAACTAAGCCCAAATTAATCTTGAGGTTAATCCCCTTGACAGGGGGCACCTGTCTCCTTCTGAATGGGATCAAATTGCAAAAGATTTAATTAAATTCAATTCAATTTATTTATATAGCGCCAAATTCACAACACATGTCATCTCAAGGCACTTTACAGTTCAACCAGATCATACAGTCAAATTGATTCAAAGTTTTCTATGTAAGGAAAACCAGCTGATTGCATCGACTCATTGACTCTTCAGCAATCCCTCACACTAAGCATGCTTGTAGCGACAGT